CAACAACAATTGCTGTTGTGGCAGCGGTAACAATAACACAGCAACAACAATGGCAATGTCAAAGACGCTGCGAGGATGCAACTATGAAAATTGCGTTAGAAATCTGCAATTTATATTGCGATGCCCCACACACAAGCAACAACAAAGACCAGCCCAGGTTCAGAGCAACACAAATACGATTGCTATCCAAGCATCGACTGCTTGAACTGCCTCAACTGCCACCGGCGTACCTGGCGATCCTCTCAAGAAACAAGTAAAAATGAAGGCAAATACTAATAGCCAAGTCAGGGATACTCTTACGTTTACTATAAGAACACCCAGCTCATACGGCTAGCTATTGAACGATATATAAAGGAATAGATAGACCAAAGTATCAGATTTCCTTCCCATATAAACATTTTCCTCTACCTGCTTGATATTGTAGCGCATCAACCCCTAGTTAGTGTATTAGAGGCAGCCACAGCCATGTTCGATAATCACAATTGTTTGCAGCGAGTTGAGGCTGCACAACTCAACGCATTCCGGCGTTTGCTTTGTTGCTGTTGTTGCTGTCGTCGATGTTGCTGCTGCTGTTGTTGTTGTTATTGTCGTCGTACTCGCTGTTAGCTGGGCACAGGAAACATTGGAAAATTGAGCATGGAAATGAACGCAAAAAAAACACAAAAAAGCTGAAAACAGATAGAAAAAAATCGCCAGCCAAATGGCAACGGAAAACCTCTTCATTCAAGTCGTCCGTCTCCGACTCCATCTCTAGCTCCAGCTCCAGCTCCGCCTCTGTCTTCGTCTTTGTGGCTGTCTCATTTCGTATGTGCGAGGCGTTTGCCTGAGAGGGTACATTCCAAGGCTTAAGCCTGGGCAAAGTCTAAGGCAGCTCAAACGCCAGCACCGACGATTTGTTGCTGGCCCAAGTGGAGCAATTATTGCAACTGCAACAGCAGCAGCAGCAGCAGCCGCCGTTGAAAGTTTTGGCATTCGGTGTGTGGGGTAATGCATCATCACATGGGGGCACGCCTGGCCTGGCCTGGCCTGGCAAAAGCATCGACATCGGCATCAACATTCACATTGGCACCACATTCAAATCGATTTGGTACGCATCTTCCTGCAACATGTTGCGGAAACAGCAACAGCAAACGCAACACGAGGCGATTTTGCAGCAACAGCGCGCCAAATTGATTTGTTGCTGCTTTAGTGTTAATTGCCAGACCACGACTAGACCGGGCCAGAGCCTTAGCCAGAGCCAGAGCTAGAGCTAGAGCCAGAGCCAGAGCCAGAGCCAGAGCAGTAGAAGAAGGCGTCATCAACATGGTCGTGTGGACATGAACTAACTGTAACTGCATTCAGTGGCTCAGGTGGTTGCTGATGTCGAGAATGTGGGGCACTAGAGTTACGAGTGGGCGTTTCACAGAGACATACACACATGTATGGCAACAAGCGGGAGTAGAGAAATGGGGGAGTTACAGCAACTGCATTGCATTGCAATTATGAAGTACGTGTTCGAATGCGTCGAAAGCTCACAAATTTCTAATGATGATATATTGCAGCTGGCGCTGGTAACATTGGCAAGACTATCAAATTAACAAGATCGTCGCTTCCGGCGTACAATTGCTGAACAGCAACAGAACCCAGGCAAGCAACTAGGCAGGCAGGCAGGCAGTGGGCAGGCCAGGAGTTGGAGTGCAAGGAGTACAGTATTCAATTGACTTGCGCATTAATCTTGGCGCTAGACTGGACTCGGCTTGTTGCTGCCGGGTTTCCCACAACGGCAACACACAACACACACACGAAATTTATGCCAAGTGGCGGACGGGCGACGAGTGCAGATTTCACGTCAAAACTCATGGGTGTACAAATGCATCATTCTGATGGTCATCATCAGTCTCTGCCTATCAAACAATCGACAAAACAAACAGCAGCAACAGCGGCAGCAGCTGCGGCGGCAACATGTTGCCAAGACATTGCTTGTTGGCGTTGGCAACAATTACCCAGAGCTGGACTCTCAAAGCCAGACTCAAGCCCAAACCCTGAATGTTTTTTGTGCGACAGTTTTGTGAATGTGAGTCGGCGTATGTGTGTGTGTATGTGTGATTGCTGACTGCTACAAATTTCAACGTCGCACAAAAAGTCAGCCACGGCAGCAATCTGCACTTGAAAATCTAACAGCAGCAGCAGCAACAGCAAACACCAGCAAAACACAAGGAAGTGGCTGCCACCGAGTGGCAACCTGTTTCTGCACTTGACCATGCACCATGCCAACATGTTGCCGAATTGACAATTTCGCTGCGCATGCGCAGTTGCTGCTGCTGCTGCCGCTGCCGCTGCTGTTGTTGTTATTGCGGTTGTTGTCAATTGTCAGTTGGCGCAGTTTTCCAGCCACGTTGCCTGGTTTATGCAAATTGCAGCAGCCAAAGCGCTTCTATGGCCATGACCAATGCCCCAGCTGAATCTGAAGCTCAAGCTCAAGCTCGAGCTCGAGTTCGAGTTCCAGTGGGCGTTTGATTTCAATCGCTAACATTTTCACATATCCATGGCCATATGTTGCTAGTGTCGACGCAACGGGCACTCGTCCTGCAGCTGAGTGCAGTTTATTTTCCTTCTTCTTAGTCTGTTTTTTTATTAACGGCTTGCCATTTCGATTTTATGTTTAGTTATATTTTAGCTGGGGCTCGTTATTTTTCATTGGCTCTGGTTCATATTTGGCCTCTTGATCTCACTTGAATGCCATTCCCCCAATCTCGTCCAGACTTTATTAACAATCATTTTTCACTGCACGTCCCATTTTCGGGTGTTGATCTGTTCCTACGCATACAATTTGTATGCCAGGCCCAGTCGATCGCCAAGTGTTGATACAGAATTACTCCCCCCCATTGACAGCACTGCCACCGCATACCATTTCGACCCCGCCTCGTCGGTGGCCTATCGGCTCTATCGGCATTTGTTCGGTTATCATGTAATTTGATCTTAATGCGCATCGTGTTTATTTATTCTCTCTTTTTTCCCAAAAAAAATTAATCCTTCACACTTGTGTTGAGTTTTGGGTATGGAGAAACGGGGAGCGTAATATTCAATCGATTTATCGTGTGGTTGTTAGCTGTCAAGTGGACGGCATTAGGCCATCAGCCAACGATGTCAGCGATGTGACATTCCAAATTGGGCATGCAAGATTTGGGTACGTGCGTGAGAGTTGCCCTACAGATACCTATGGTCAGTCGCGTGATCGTTACGATCTGAGCTAATCAACTAACGCCCCTAAACAGTTTACAGTAAGATAAATGATTTATTTTCTTTTCGTAATATTTTAAAACCCATTTGAAGCTGATTCTCGAAGGAAATTATACCACATCCCTATGTACATCCTGCATTTTTTATATCCTATTTTGCCTAAACGTTTTTCATTTGAATTGCGATAAATTGTTCTTGTTCCAAAAATCTTCAACAGATACAAATTTGGGGTAATTCGTATATAAAACAGTACTCAAAAGATAAGTTAATGTTTAAATTCTAGAGATTTTTATAGCTGGCTCCATCAGCTTTATATTTCCCATTCGTGTCAAACCCGTCTAGGCAACTGATATGCTCTGCTGCAGCTCATAAATATGCATTTCAAGTGCAACTTGAACTGCAACTGCTTCGTAGACGTCGACTGCATTCAAATGCGGCGCACGTCGTTTGGGTCGTTAAAAATCGAACACGCACTCAATCGAACAATCGAACTATCGAGTCACATTGATCTATGGGTGGACTGACTTGGCTTGGGCGTACGATATGATTTACGATTGAGCCATGAGGAATGAGGAATGTCACGATTTAATAGGCTTATCGGAGCTGTATTTCCAATTCGATTGCCAGTTGTCCAATTCCTGCGTTGGCTGCACTGCGTGCGGTCTAATTATTTCATTACGAACTTGTCACGGAGCTTGCTGAGGAAATGGGGTGTGGTCCGCCCGCCCCGCTACCCGCAGAGAGTCAAAAATATGTATTTCAATTCAGTAATTTTCTAATTAAAATTTCAAACTCAACCCAACGCACAATCAGCATTAAAAATCGGACGGAGTGTTTTGATTTATTGGAAAAATATAAAAATAAAATATAAATATGTTTGGCATTTAAACCCCACTGCTGCCCCAGCATACCACAGGGGGCCGGCAGAGCAGCGCTTCACCTGTCTAACACTTGCATTTTAACGACTCGCTGCATGCCCCCAGCTGAAACAGCTGAAGGTGCGACGCTGCCAAATGTCACAAACTTTACGGCCAGTTTGAAGGGCAAACGAAAATCGTTTAACTTTGATTTCGAATTTCTGATTTATTCACCCAATGTTGCCAAAGCGCAGGCGCTTGCAACATAAATTTTCCTTAACAGTTCCTCTGATATGAACTGTAAAAACTCACCATAATTTTTAATTGTACAAATTTATGGCCTAACTGGGACTCGACTCAGTCTGCGACTGGGGCGTCGTCGCCGCAACTGCCGCAGATGATGCAGTGCCTCATCCCGCTGACGGCGTTAGCGGTTCTTTTGTCCACCGCGCTATCTGGTTGACCATTTTACAACCGATTTATAGTTGATGACCACTGCAGATAAATAGCTTTCGTTCCCAGGGCCGTGCTATTAAAATCAAATAAAATCAATGTTGTTTTTGAATTCGGCATTTTAATGAATAGTCCAGCATCATAAATCAGTAATGTATATGGGCTGTAGCTCTGCCCACGTCCACCTGGCCCCAAGTCTGTGGCATTGTTCGATTTTCAATAAAATATTGTTGTAATGATGCATTTATAAAATTATAAAAATGTTTGTTTCTTTATGCTCACAGCGCGATATTTAAATTAATTTTACTGTGCAGCACTCAAATCCGAACTGGAAAATCAGCATGAGAATACAAAACAATTTTCGGTCTCATTTATGGGCTGCAGCATTGCATCTTTTGCTTAACAGAAATAAATAAGCTTTTATTTGATATTTTTGAACCTTCTAGATTGTATAAACAAACTCAAGTCGCTTTTGAGATAACATGAAAAACATGGAGAAAAGTAAAAATTCTATTCAATATCTAAAATAAAATTGTTGACTAACTGCTGTTCTTGTTTGCCCGCCTATTACTTTTACATAAATGCCTCATTTAGTTAAGATGACTTCCGTGTCATAAAGTGTATATCTCTAGTTCCACTTAAGTTTGGGCTTTCAGCTAATTGTGTCAGAACCTGGGTATAAAAACTCTTGTGCAGCCGTCAACGTTAGCAGATTTAAAATGCGCTTGGGTAAGTCTAGAAGGAATAGTTCGCCAGACATCGAAAAGTCTTTAACACTTAACACTTTTAGTTGTTATATTATGGATTGCTCTGCTGGGCTTATCGCAGGCATACGCCCCGGATATATGCGCTGAACAGTCTTTCGGATATAAAGCTGTCGATTCACATGACCCTAAATCATATTTTCTGTGTCTAGGACTACTTGGCAAAATATTGAGCCATTGCGATGAAGGATTTCGCTTTAATGGATCAGCACAGAAATGCATTCTTGAAAAACAGTCAAGAGCAGGGGATGCAAGTTCTGGCGGTCCAAATAATTTGTTCAACATTAACCAGAACATTACCATGCACAAGCCAGTTATCTTTAATATCTTTGGTCCACTGTGGAAACCTTCAAACCCTGCACCTCCGCCAATACCAGCACCTACGACGACCGAAGAACCTGTCACTGTTTCTCCAGGCAATAACATTTAAGCAATTATCAACCATGTTAGTAATCAACTAACTATTTACAGGGCCAGAGTCTAGCTCTACTACATCGATTAATACAGTGAGTTCTCCTTCTTCAACAACTGATAGCTCTACAGAGGGTTCTTCTTCATCGGGCACGGATAGCTCTACAGAAAGCTCCACTTCATCTACGGATAGCGCCTCAGAGAGCTCTTCTGCATCAACGGACAGTACATCCGAAAGTTCTTCCTCAGCAACGGAGAGCTCTACAGAAAGTTCATCTTCTTTAGCAACGGATAGTACCACAGAGATCTCTTCTTCTACATCCACGGATAGCTCTACAGAGATCTCATCCACTTTATCAACGGATAGCACCACAGAGAGCTCTTCTTCTACAGCCACGGATAGCTCTACAGGAAGTTCTTCCACTTTATCTACGGACAGCACCACAGAGAGCTCGTCTTCTACAGCCGCGGAAAGTTCTACAGAAAGTTCTTCTTCCACAACGGATAGTCCCACAGAAAGTTCTTCTTCCACAACGGACAGTACCACAGAGAGTTCTATTACTACTACTTTATGTACTCAGACTACACCAATCGTGGTTTAAGCTCCTTTTAAACAAAACCAACTACTACACTAGTGGGAGTTATATATAGCGCTGATAAAAACTGTTTACCCTGACTGGGTAAGTCTACCCGAACTATTTAATTTTACAAAGATATTTGAAAATAAGTCTAGAATCCATCGAATTAATAGTCATGTGATGAGAATATTGAAGCTTAGAATCTTGAAAATAGAAAATAAGTCGAATGGGATGATACTCATGGCTCCATTTTGGGAGGCGTAAAGTTTTGGCCGACGGACGGGAATTGGATAAAAAAAAATTGTATTCAAACGTCTAAGCACAAAACTTACCACGGGCAAGGCCTTGGTATATCCGCTAGCCTTTTTATATATTTGTTGATTTAATGTTAAACATACCGTTTCACCCGGTTCAGAGTTCATCCCACTTCCCACTTTTTCATTTATTTCAACTTTGCATTGGTAATGTGCAGGCTCCACATCTCTTTGCCGTTCTGCTGGTGTTTTAGATAAAAGAGAGACTGTTTCGCAACAAAAAAAAAAAACGAGGCAAGCAACAAAAGCCAACAGCATATACATACGTAGACACATTCATGCTCACATAGGTATGCGACCCCAACTCCCCTGTTCCATATAAATATCAAACGGGGCTCATATTTCAATTTCGATTTTTGAAAACGATGTGCGAGCTAAACACAAACAAACAAACGACAAAGCAAGAAAACAAACAAACAGCCGAACAGCAAATACATTGAATGCGTTTATACTATATGGAGATATACTCTTTATATAAACCACATATAAATTTGTATACCGAGTATCAATCGGAATGGACAAAAAGGATATCTATTATGTTAGTTAGTGTGTAAAGAAAAGAGGGTGAAATGAAAAACTGAATTAGATTTAGATTTTAAAAATAATAACCATACTTTTATAATACAAGTAAGTATTTCTTCAATTTTATAGCAACTGCACAAAAGTTAATAAAATATTTATATCCCCAACTAAGAGAAGCTTATGCCTTTTTTTCAGTACAGGGTATCTTTTGGTTGAGCACTCGCTTTCTTTTTTTATTGCTTATGTATCTCAGAGTGAGCGCGTATCTATGCAGTGGACATGGGTCTGTGTTTGGGTCCGGATCTGTTGCTGTTATGGGTTGTGCCTGTCGTTCGCATAAATGCAACGAAACTTTTGCCCTTGCACATTTGATGCCAATTCCGATGCGTTGCTCTTGCTGCTGTTGCTGCCAGTGAAAATGTCCAAAAATGAGGCACAAACATGCGCATGAATTTTGCAAAGGCAACGGCAAAAACCAACAACAGCAGCAGCGGCAGCGGCAGCGGCTGTGGCTGCCGCACTAACAAGTTGCCACTGCCAGGAAATGCAGCGCAAATAAATGAGGCAGTTGGAACTGTCCCTGGACCTTTTGGACATGTCCACCAATATTTTAGCCATTTGTAATTTTATACTTATTTTTGCAAAGCGTTAACAGTTGACCGCAGTTCCTCCGGACTGACCCCCGCCTGACAAGCGTTTGCATTTTAGATTTGCCGCATTGGAAATTCTATATGCAACATGTGCGTTTCGGCCTGCCCCAGAAATTGGTAGCACGAGTCTTGCAGCTGTCGCTGGCCTGGGGCACAATGTTTGGCCACCACCTTAATAAGTCAATGAGAGAGACCTGTGCACCTTTCTGACTAATTGCGAGGCGATAGTTGGGCGCTACTTTCGCGCCTAGCGTCCCCCTCAGGGCGCAGACGGGCGGCTATTTGCATAAACATGCAAACGTGGCCAACTTCCGTCTCAAGGCCAACTGTGAAATGAACTAAAGAGAAACAAATACTTATACGAAACTACGAAAATTCAATTAGCAGTCGGCTAGAGAGCAACATGAAAAGGGCGTGGCCGGCCGCTAAATCTAACTAACGACGCAAACGGAACAAAAACTTCGCTTGAAACGAAAGAACTCGAAAAGCTAAAGACTTTGGCCGGTTAAATGTAGTTTATGAGGTGGCAACGCTGCGTCTGAGTTATGCTAACCTCCTGCAGCGTGGCCACATATCGAACTTGAACTTGGGCCAATAAAAAACTACCTACCGCATTTTGTGTCCAACAAAGCTACCCAAAATGGTTGACGATGTCTTCGACGGCGGCGGCGGCGGCGTCTCGCAAGTGGCGTTTTGTCAAATATTTTTGTCCTGGCAGCCAGTTTTAGCCTTGTTCTGCTTCTTCAGCGACTCTTCACGACTTTTATTTAATGAATTTCGCAAATTTTTGAGGCAGCATCTCACGCATGCGAAAGGCGCGGAGTTCAGCGAGTTTTGCGACTTTTGCGACTGCAACTTGTCTCCACATACACGATGTGCAAATAATTGTCTCAATTCCGCGGATTCCATGATCTGCAAGTCGGAAAAAATAAAAATAAAATTTGCTCACTGAATGAGTGGCCGTCGCCGTCGCCGTCGTCGTCGGCATGGCCATCGGTCCGGGGCACCTGCAAGAGATTATCGCGCTGAATGCTTAGGAACTCATGGCGCATAGTCTCGGGAACTGCAACAGCTACTGCTTAGAGGGCATTAAATGCGAAATATTTGATCGGAAATGCTCAGATAGCATATAATGTGAGAGAACATGAATATCAATGGCAGAAAAGCGGAAACTACTTCTTAATGAAGGGGCAAAAAGCTTAGCCCAAACTGTTTATAAAAGTAACCATAAAATCAAAACACAGCAGCAAACTAGAGCTCAAAGTATGCCGAAAGGGATTGAGCCCGAAATGCCACCTTTTATTAATTGAATATAAACTAGCCGAAAGTAAGCCTAAACAGAACCGTTTGGAAAACCAAATCCAAGAATTGAACCACCAAATAAGTTTAAGGGCCCAAGTCCACTTAAAAATTGGTTAAGTTCTGATCAAGTTACAGGTGTGAGAAGTCTAGCAATTGCAATTACCATGAGCATTGCATTTTGTGCTGAACATTTTCACGAGGTACGTAAATTGCCAAAGCCGGCAAATCGGCCATTTGGGCGCGTCTTGCAACGTTTTGTTCTTGGCAATGAATTGCCAAACGCAGATGACAATGAGCACCGGGCCGCTAAGTTGGCCCTGAACGACAGCAGACAACAGTAGCGTTTCCGAGTCGAATGGCCTTTTGTGCTCAAATAACAGAAACAAAAACAAAACAAAAAAAAAATAAAAAAAGAAACAATCGTCAGTCAATTGCTAAACGATTTGGGGTATGCGCGACAGGTATGCCTATGAAATCCGGCTGGGGTTGTGGAGCTCAAACTGAAGCTGCAGCCGCAGCTTGAATTTCAGTTCCTCAATTCTGCTAAGAGCTGGCGACAATTTTGCAATTGTCTGCGCTAACAACAACAACAACAACAACAACAGTAGCAGCAACAACGACAGCGACAACGATGGAGGTCGTCGCATTGCTCGCATAGCCGACAATGAAAAGCGCCGCAAATTGCAACTTGCATACAAAAATCTGTTTTGGGTCTTGATAATTGCCATTCAATGGAGTTGGTTTCTGGATAGCTGCCGGCCACTACTTAGTTGGAGGTTAAACTCATTTAATTGTTGTCGCTACTGTTTACTTGCTTGTTTCCACCTTGAACCTGACTCCGGCTCTTACCTCTCAGCTCAGAGCTGAGCCCTGTGCGTGGGCAGCTTCAATTACGCGCTGTTACAGGCCCACCCGCTGTTGCTGCGTCTCATGCTTCAGTGAGTTGGAAGTCCAAAAAAAACGAAAAACTAATTAATAAATTAATTATGCCATTACAATAATACACACGAAACTCCCATACACACACACACACACTGGGAGAGACAGCCCAGGGTAGGGACTCACGCACTCTAATTATGAATATTTTCATGCTGAAATATGCATACACGTGTTGTTGTTGTTGTTTGTTTGCTGTTGCCACGGGAGTTGACTTAATTAGCCACCCAGTGAGGCACTGCAGCACTTGTGCGAGTCTCGACCTGACTCTGCCCCTGTCGGAGTCGGATTTAAGTTGCGACTACTGATATGTGCAGCAGGTTGCCCCCATGACATGAACTTTAGCCGAGCTGTTTTTTGGCAGCTAATTAGATAAATTTGAATACATGATTACCGTATATATATAAATACATATAAATATGTATATTTGAAAACTAGGTAGACAATTTAATGGGTACTTACCGAACACATTCTTGATTTTCTGCATGGGAAGTGAATGCACTCAGGCATATGACTGGAAATATGCCTTATGTGCGATAGAGATAGGGCGCATTTGATTTGAATTTTATTTCCATGTTAACAGTTCTATTATCCTTGTGGCTGTATCTGCTGTCCAGCTAGAATCCGCAGTCGCCGTCGCCGTCGCCGTCGCCGTCACCGTCGCCGCAGACCGAAAGCCGATGATAAATCGCGCCATTTACGTGTGTGCGCCCAGGTAAATATATCAGCTAGGCAAGGTCATAAATATTAATTGTGTTTTCGGGGCCTGGTCTGGGGCCGGGGCTGGGGCTGGCGCTGGTGCTGAAGCTGAGACTGGGGTTCAGTTCAGGAACTGGAACTGCCTTTAATTTTGCATGTCTCGCCTGCTATGTTTGCCTGTGGCGAGCGTTTGTTGTTGTTCCTTGCATTTTGTTGTCGGTTGTTGCCATTATCAATCGATCGAACGCGAGCTGCATTTGCTTAGTGGCCAGCCGAAACTCCAGCTCGAATCAATAACAACAACTACAAGAACAACAACTTGCCAATATTGTTAATAAATATTCCAGATTGCAGTCGTACAGTGTGTTCTACGAGCATGTGCTAGATGCTCAGCTGATACCCTGTATGAGTTGATACGAGAAATAGAAATTGTAATGAATTGTCAGAATATTAATCTAGGAATACTTTAAATGAAATTATATTTTTTAAAGAAAAAGTATTTATTAGCTAAGAAGATATGCCTGTCATTATTAAATCATTCAACTGTCCCTTGAAGCGATAATTGAAAAAAAAGATTGATTGACTAAAAACATAAGGAAACATAGTTTTTTCGTTATTAGTTTTAACTTTAAACAAGCTCAGAATCAATAGAGCACAAAAACTTGAAGAAGAAGCTTAGCAATAGAAAATACATTTAGAATGCAGCAGCAGCCATCGAGTGCCAGGAATGGAGCAAGTGGCCTGGAGTCAGGAGGCAAGTGGAGTAGGGTCGGGTTGAGTTATTCATAAGCGTGGCGCTGCTGTGATTAATATCCAAGGAATGCAGTTTATTGTTGCGCGACGACGACGACGCAGAGGGCAGGGGCGTGGCAAAAAGAGACACATGCCTGCGCGAAAATAGAGACGGGGGCTGCAGGAAGGTGGCATATGTGAGGCAGGGGTGGAGCGAGCGGGCAGTTGGCAGAATCGTACGCTCAACTGTGGGCCGCAACGCAAATTTGTGTGCATTATTTTTGGTTGCCGCAAAGCGTTTTTCTCGGCTATTTTAGCTCAGTTATAAATTACTGCGGCCAAAGGCTACGTGTGTGTGTGAGTGTGTGTGTGTCTTGCTTGCATAATCTGTGTGCTGAAATCTTTGGCATCCACTTGCGCATATGCACGGGCAGAGTACAGCAAGTGAGCCGCAATGCCCGCCAAGTGCAGCTATGTGCGGCTCCAGACTCAGCACCCAGAATCCAACTCCCAGCCCGTCTCTAGAACAATAGCCCGGTCGCGCACAATGGAGCCGCGCAGGCAGCGGAGGAGCGTAGCTGGAACTGAATGGCCGCCACTCTCATAATAGAGTCATAAAATTTTAGTGCGCCGCTTGGCTAAACCCTCTACCGAAAGACCCCCCCGTGGCGCCTGGGACACGAGTATCCGCGTCCACATCCACAAACACAACCACATGCGCGTCGCAAGTCCAAGTTCAAGTCAAAGTCGTTTCGCTTTGTTGGCCATTGTCCCGGCCATTTACTCGGACCATAGAAATATATAATTGTGATTAATTATACGACATAAAAATGTTTTAGATTCAACATTTTGATGCATTTATTAACCGAAAAATCACTTGAAATGAGCGGTTTTTAAACATTATATTGCGCCCCCCGGGAACAATGCTTGAGGAGACCAAAGAGCGAGAGAGGGCTGGGGGAGCTATGAGCAGTATTTGCTGGTCTGTTGAATGTTTGTCGATGGTCGATGGCCTTTATGTGGCCAGCGCAGATCTATTATCAGTTGTAATAAAAGTTTACATACTTTTTTTGGGGCGTTCCTTTAGCTTGGCTAAGAGCAACAGCAGCTGGGCTTAAAGGCATGCCAGGCACACTTTTGCCTATCATCATGAATAGTTTGAATACGTTGAATTATTTTTAATAAACCGACGTAAACAAGTAGTTGAGTAAATTATGATCGTATCGTTTGTGGATAAAATGCAAACTTTTGATATTTGTGCTCTTTAGAGTACTTAATTGAGTTCATGGCCCATTGGCTGACTGTCTCTGGCTGTTTGGCTCCTCGACTGTCGGGGACAATAGCGCACTTGGAGCAGCCGCTTCGTTATCACAGAACATGCCAGCACATGGGAATTGTTGGGCCGCCTGCTGAAGATGCCGCCTAAAACAATGAATGGGGACAGCAACAACAACAATTCATCGACTGTAAATGCGTCTGCGTCTCTGGCTGTGCCTGTGGCTGTTGTAGCATTTCATGCCCATCAAATGCATTGACATTGAACAATTGCGCGTAATGTTGTCGTACATTTGACAAGCGCGCAAATTGTAGTGCTACCTGTGCCAGGTACCAGATACCTGGTACTACAGCTAGCAGGCAGTTACCAGGTAACTGCCGACTCTGTTAGCCTGTTGACTGGCCAAGGCGAAAGCTCGAATCTCGATCACCGCTCGTTTCGTCTAGCCGTATGAAAAAATAGAAACAAAAAAGAACATCTAACTTCGGCTTGACGCAGTTTCGATACTCTAACAGATCTGACTCTTCAATTCATATAGCTTGTCAACCTATAGAAATTGGACTGGTTATCATATTTGACTGAGGCGAAATATATATGTATATGATTACACAAACTATATTTACTTATAGATAGTTGGTAGAGCCAAAAATGTGATTTCCAACTTTTTGACAAATTCATAGTGCCCTGTGTAAGTGTATCAAATCAACAAGTTGGACAGAATTTGATGGAAATTGGCAGACTTGTCTGTCTCAGAGTTGTCTGTCGTTGATTGTCGGACTATGTTGCGGGGCCTAATGAAGCGACGACATTTGCCGCAAAAACCTGGACATGGCACAAACGAATCGGACATGTCCGCTCGGCATTGGCCATTTGCCAAATATGCAGCGACAACTAACCGCTAAATGCTATCCAGATTAATAAGCCCAATGTGTGGGTGATACTATCATCAATTGAGCATTGAGTTCAGGTCGAAAGATAGCAAAAGTCAAATGTTATTTGGCCATGCGGCCAGGCAACGTTCTTAGCCCGAATATCGTTACGTACCAAACTTGGCCAAGGCAATATTTTTGCAAGCCGTTAAAGATTTGCACTGCCAACTGTAAAATGCATTTTTGTGCGCCTTAAATGGACCGAGGAAAAAGTAAGCAAAACGCACGATAAAAAGTGGAAACTCCGCTGCCACTGTGGATAAATGTGTCTAAATGTGGGTAAACTGGCAAAGCAGCCACAGTCAGCCAACTGCAAACTGCACACTGAGAATATATATTTGCAGTGCAGAAACCCAAGTTATGGTTTCTACTATATACACATATTTAGCAGGAATAGCGAACGACTGAGTATCAGCCAACCTAATTGAGCCTTGGGCTATACATTTCTAATAAGCATCGCATCCCATGGGTTATATCAGTTACAGGCCATAATTATCATTAACTCTGCGTGCAACTGGAAAATTCTATTGTAATTTTTAATATGTAGGCGGAACGTGGTATTTCATTAAGACAGGGGTGCAAAAAGTTCTGCACATGCCTAGCTAACAAATTCCCAATCGGTTCCTTAACGCACAACAACAGTTCCCAAATAGGAGCCATAGAGTCAACCTACAACTATAAAATGAATTCCTAAATGGATATCGTTTGATGGTTCTCAGCGTTGCAGCCCTTTAACCTAGACTATATAAGAAGCTCGACAAGGGATACGCAATTTTATAATTATTATAAGGCTATCACGATGTGGGCTTATCGAGCTCCTGACGAGAGTTGGAGACGTATTTATGAACAATTTAAGGGATTTTGCTTGGTGCTCCATCAAAAGACGCATCCGAAACATACGTCAACCTTTTATAATCGCATACAGCTCATGTAATACATACAACAACAAACATTTTGATGTACTTTACTTACGTAAAGTACACTTTTTGTAGTGTCCTGTGGAACTTTCCAAACGAGAAGCAGCGCCGCCTGTCGACACGTCGGATCTGGCATGCCTTTATTTTGATTCAGATCAATGTCTTTTTTCTCACACTTTTGTTTGCGCTGCCGGAATCGGTGGACCATATAGTCGATTTGGGTCAGGATATTCTATGGATGATTGGGGTTTTCTCTTGCTCTGATTTTTTTGCAAGCAATCGAACGCCTTCCATTTGCAGACCTTCTATATGTTATTCAAGTGGCACTTCTTCTTCTTTTATATGGATGACATTGATGAGGCTATCAATGATCTGGATGCCTGTCACTGCGAGCCAAAGAGTGGACCGGCGGTGGCAATCATACGCTCCGAACAGCTCTGGTTCTTTTTGGGATTGGCTTGGCATGTTGGCATAATCATGATCTGTGTTTTGGTGGTATTACAGCCAGGCCAGAAGCTGCCATACCATGCAGTTTGTCATTTTCAATGGCACGATCCCATCCCAACATCCCATCGCGCACGTTTGCATTTACATTTGGCAATGCTTCTTTCTATTCTGCAATATGGCATGCATTCTATATACCGATCTATTCTCATCGCACTGCTTCGCACAACTGGCGGTCAATCTGAAGATCCTGTGCATTGAGCTGAACACCTTTGCCAAGGTGTACCACGAGGACGAGCAGCAGTATCGCACTGAACTAGGTCGATTGGGTTAGTCTGAGTCTGAGTTCAGTAGTATCATTCCCACCTGGATACCTCTTTTTACAGCATTGTGGATCGCACCAACGAAGTCTTCTATGCGCCGCAGATAATGCAGATGTTAACCGCGTTCTTGATGATCTCCCTGTCTACATTTGAAGCACTTGTGTCCCGACATGAACCCACTGTGGCAGCTAGATTTGTCATATTTATGGTGCTATCGTTTTGTCATCAGACCTATTGGTGCCTGTTTGGGGACATGGTCACCGAACAATCGGAGCAAGTGGCTTTTTCCGCCTATATGGCTGTAAGTTGTGCCAGTGCTATGCAATTGAGAGCCCCAACAAATTATTTTTCAGATACTCAAGCAGTGTTATAGTAGTGTCAGTAACTGCTGCTAGAGAGCCTGGATTAAGCAAGCGCCACAATATTAGTTGAATAAAATACCCCAAACTACAAAGAAGTCTGAGGTCTAGCTCATTCTCCTCTGTTTAAAGTTAAGGTAATTTCTGCCTGGAAGTCTTAATCGCTGCTCATAAAGCAAGCCAAGCTACCTGACTGCTCCCGCTGCATTCCCGAATCACCCAAGCTCGTGCAGCTGCAGCTATTTAGGAGTGCCCACGGAACCAATTGGCAGACGGTTCAGTTTGGTAGCCGGGCCACCAAAACTATTTACGTTTACAAAATTATATTGTACTCTGGCATTTTTATCAATATTTTTCAGTTCGGCTGAAAGAAAGTTTCTCAACGAGGTTGCATTTTATGCATGCGACCCCGTGAGGTCGCCCCGGCAACAGCAGCAGCCGATCCAGCTTCGAGCCAAGTCCAATAACTGTGCTCATAAATTGCAATTGTGTGGAACGTGGGGAGCTTGTAGTACTTACTGGAAGCTGGTTTGACTACCCGGCCGACTGGCCGCCTGGCCGCCTGTCTGCTCCGTCATTAGCTTGATTGAATCTTATTGTTGGCAATTAACCTTCGCAGCTATAAGGCCAAGTAGCAGCAGCAGCAGCAGCATTTCTGTGCCACATCCTGGCAGTCATCCATGGGTAATAACTTCATTTGCCACGACGCGCATGACACATGACACAACATGTCATCTGCTTATGCCAAAACTAATTGCCTGCGACAAGTCGCCAGCCTCAATTAATTAGCGAATGCTAAATGCGGACTAGGCTACAGCCAAAGCCAATCCGCAGTTACATTTGCATGCGCACGAAACGGGGCAGTGTTTGCGGAGCGTCTCAGCTGCACAGCCGGAAAAACGGGCACAAACCCAAACATGACGTGCCATGGCAAAAAGTAAAAAGCTCGCATATTGTACACCGAATTTCACTTAGGAGCAGATCAAGGAGCGCCAATCCCCACCAGACAGCAGACAGCAGACAGCGGCTAGCGGACAACGGACAGCCGACAGTAAACGATAGCTAAGTCGAACAGCAAACGATTTGTCAGACCGCAGCTCTGCAGCTCATTTAAGACTCCACTTCCTACTTACGTTTGAATATTCCTATTCGCATTCGCAATTGCATATTGCCAGTGTTTACTTACTTAGCACAGTTGCCCCCTCCTCCTCCTCCTTCTCTGCGTCCTCCTCCACCTCTTCTTTTGCCTACTCCTCTGGCACTTCAACCGCATCGCATGCAGATGCAGCGCCTTTGTCATGACATGACAGCAGCCTAATTCATCATTATGGCTACACGGCGCTGGCTGGCTTTGGAGCTGAATGAGAGTTTTGTCGCGACTTTCGCTAGACGTTTGCATGATGCAGTTTACTCCAATCCCCCTTCCTCTTTCCATGGCTTGTCTGAGCATCTGTGCAGCCGATCTCGTTAGACGGCGTGCCCGTGCCTAGCCCGATTCCATGCTCCATGCTCCTCCAGTGATTCATTCATGCGCAGTAGTTGGATTTTTCGCTTGCATGCAGCTGACAATGATGATAATAATGATGATGCATGTGGCTGCAGTGCGACTAGCATTTCGATCACGAGAGAAGCTAGAGAGGGAACTGTATGGGGGCCGTACAAAGTGCACTGTCGATAGCCTGATGATTTGCCTGTCGGCATCAACGAGGACGACGACATTATCGTCAGCTTGCAGTCAGAAGTCAGAGATGTCAGCTGTGAGCCGTAGCTCCTCGCTGTACTTCTTATCCGACATTGTATCTTTCGGTGTGGGCTTGCCGAAAGCAATGGAAAGTTATTGAAAGCCTGTAGGCCTGTCAATCTATTGTGTCTTGCTTTCCCAAAACAAACTTATTGCAACAACTCTATGGCTGCACAGGGTTCGACTTTGATGGCGCAATAAATCAAATGAATTGAGCTGAACTCTTCAAGTAATTAAATCTCTCTCAAGTTAAAGAGATTCAATTTTAATTGGATTACAAAATAAAAACGATATCAAGAGCCCAGAAGGTCACAGTGGTGTGAGGGTCACTATAAATCAGACAAATGGAATGTGATCTCGGCTTCACTTTGTTATTAACAATGAAGAATCAACTTTGACAACACTTGTGATCGTACTTTTTGAAACACACACAAATTATTACAGGCAAGTTTTCAAAGTCAGTCGTTAGTCCTGTTCCATACGAGAGCCTAAAGGGTTAGGAAAGATTTTCCCTATAATTCCCAAATGCCTAACTCTTTCAAAAGGCTAGACTTTTGTCTATCTTTCAGACATGCGCCAATACGCGCGAAAGAAAAAGGTGTCAACTCTTTAGTTTAGCGAACTCCTTAATCATCGTAGCGTATAGCCCAAATGCCATGCACGACTTCATTATGAGGCAGCCGCAAATGAATCATCAACGTCAGCTGGAAGCACTCTCATTGCTGGCAGCTGCACCCGGCACCCAATAGATAGCTCGTGACATGGGACCTAGACTTTAACTAGGTTCGATTGGTCGCCAAACTTCTGATTGGTTTTTCTCTAAGCTTTCGTTTTGGCTGCTCATCAAGCGCGCTCGAAGTGCACGAAAATGTGCCTCAAATTTGTTTGCGAAACCAACTGGCAGACATGGTTGGAGCCAATGGAGCGTCCATTAAATTCCTGGCCGGTTGTCGCTAATGAAGTCATAAAACCGCATGACATTTTGGCTACCTCCACAGGAAAGCCCCCACGAAAAACAGATCTCACTTTTTTTTGTTTGTTTTTGTGTCAGACGATCCTGTTGTGTTGTGTTTAGTTGTATTGGGGCGCTGTCGTACACACAATTGTCTGGTCCAGAGGATTGTTGTCCACGTCCAGTCGGCTCGATCGTTCCAATATGCAAATAGACCTCCGCCCGCTGCCACCCACAGACAGAGCGACGACGTCAACCAACAATAAGGAGGACCAAGTCAACGACGACGACGGCGACGACTACGATCCATATGTCCATATGTTCATATCGCCCATGCGATCTCTCGCTTTCGATTGGCTTTACGACATCGTGGCTCCGAAGACACAGACGCTGGCTGGAACGGCAGGAGGGGTACATTGGCCAATCTGGCTGCGCTTTATTTTTCGGCTCAGCTTTATCTTGCCAACTGATTTTTTGTGCATTTCATTTCGGTCGCTTCGTGCTGCAAATATGCAAAAATTGTGGCAATACCAGAGACGGGAACGGGGCACAGTGAGCTACACGTCCGTGGCACACGTTTCGAGGGCCTTTCGTGTCATAAATGGCATAAATATTCCATCTTGACCGGGCAACCTAAATATTTTCCCTGCACTCTCCTTTCGCCTCGTGTCGTGGGCTGTCATTGATTATGCGCCATAAGAGAAAAATTATAACAATGTGCGATGCCAAGCTTTCACTTTTTACTGAGCAGATCTGAAAATGAAATTAAATCGTTTTTCATTTTTATGTCTTTCGGTTCGTATGAATCCAGACTTCAGAAGGCAAGATAAAGTTTATGGCAGGTCCGGGATCACGCAGGCTGTCCCAAAGGTAAACTCGAGGAATAAACCAAAAGAATCGAGCTTTACCCCGTAAAATCTATAATCTATATATGTATGTATTTACCATGACACAGAAATTGACCGAAAGCTATTATAATAAAATTAATGCATTCAATTTATTAATGGATTATTCATTGCATCAATTTGCTAAATTGTTTTCAAATAAATACAAAGCAATTATATATATTTTTGTTCGCGTTTATTTGTTTTTATTTCGTTTTATTATTCCTTTAATGGGTTTCTTTTGTTTATTTTCATGATTTTGTTTTGTTGTGTGCCTAAATTATTTTTGCACAATTTAATGGATTTTCGTGAAAATTATTATTTGTTTGAATTGTTCTTTTTTGTTTTGGATTTTGCGTACAATTTTCCATTTGTCCACATAATTAGTTAGGCTATATGCTAAATTGGAACATTTCGAGTTGCATTTAGTAGTTGAATTTGCGCGTTGCTATTTATTAAACTTGATGTTTGAGTTATTCATTATAAGTTATAGTTAACATTATCATTATTATTGTTATTGTTATGATGTGAAATGTGCATTTAATGAATAAATATTTAAAATACAATATTGCAGTTGTGTGATTGTGTTTGTTGTTTTTTTTTCGCTTCTAAAACTCATAAATGCATAATTGCATTTGAATTAAGCATTAAGATTAAATCGAATTATTAGCTGTAGGTGTTTAAATTTTAAGTAATTTTTCCCGTTTTGTTTAACTACTAAATAGTTTGTACATAGCAACTTTATGACTTAAATGACTAGTCTTTGGTTGTTGTAAATTGTTGTTGTTGTTGATGTTGTTTTTGTTGTCGTTATTATTGTATAAATAAAACAAATACTTGAACTTTGAAGAGGAATGTTCTGTTTGCAGTTTGTGCTTATACAATGCCCTACGTAAATTATTTAATCTTAAGTTGAAGAAACATTTTGCTGCACTTTGCTTTGGAACTAATTGCCAATTGGAGCAAAAATTGCTATTAAGTACGTATTTATTTACAGCGTATTTACAATGGCGATAGTTGTTTGATTGTTGTTTTAAGTACTTTTGTCGTAGTTTTTTGTTGTGGTTTAAGCTTATTTGATATGCATGACATGAATTTTTTATTAACATTTATTGAATGCAACTTGAAATGTTTAAATGTTCCTGGGTTTATTACGAGTACTTTAACGATTATATTAACTGGGCAATTTTGGGGCAAAACATTTGCCTTTTATAAAGACAAAGCCTAAAGTTAGGCCCACAGAAATGTTTCCAATATTTGCAAAGCTTTCGTTTTGAGCTTAAGTTCTTTTTTCTGTCTTTCTTCGTTTTGCTATGGCAATCTAAACTATTTGCTTTTGTAATTACAAAACAAGAGGAATGAAGTGAAAAGCCACAAAGTTTTGTGCCATTTGCAGCCGAGAACATGCCAGCAAACACAGAGCCATACAAGCAGATACCAGTTAACACACACACACACA